AAAAAACTGAAATCCGAGTTAGAACGAATAAGATAATAGTCGAATAAGAAATTCAGGTTAAATAAAATGACTTTAATTCACAACACTTAGATCCAAATTTTCTGGATCCACTTAAATTCAAAGATCCAGATTTAGTTAATTATGGGCTAGTAACCAATGGTTACCGACCCTATCTTGAGCCACATTCTCATATTTGTTTATTGACCGTGCTAATTAGCTTCTGTAATCTTTCCATTTCATGTGTTGTGACCTCATACGTGATGCGCCTAGCACAATTGAATTATGATTAATCAAACAATCAACAACGTAACATGGCACTCTTCTTTGCCATTCTTTTAGCTTCCATGTGATATTTATGACTTTGTTATGGTGACTTGCAAGTCACCGTAATTTGGACAAGGCGGTCGACTTGTTCACTGATGAGGTTGACCTGTTTGGAAAAAACGGTCGACCTCTTCACTAATATGGTCGACCGGATGTACTATTTTTCATTTTCTATGTTCAACAAACGGTCAACCTCTTTCACTAAAAGGCACTATACAAAAAAAAAGTCTACCACTTCCATCTAGCAGTCCACTTCTTTCAATAATTGATCCATCTGATGAACCATTCCTAGTGATAGTATCATATATAATTAGAGTCCAATAACAATAGATATGTCTTCAAGTAAGAGATTTAAATTTGGTTGCAAGCATAGTGAATGTTCTCCCGTAGATTTGAAAAATGTTACGCATATTTATTTCTTATGTTTCATTACTACAAAAAAAAAATTATATTGTTAGTATCCTATTATCCATTACTTTCCTAATACAATTATAAGGTAACTGTGTTATCTGGTCAATTGGTCGACGAAAGCGGATATCATTTGCCGAAAGAGATATGTAAACCATTTTGCAAAATCGGTAGGCTGTTTTGGTGGAAGCGGTCTACCACCTCCAAAAAGCAGTTGTAAGCCGATGGTAAGTGTGCCACATGTCGACCCATTTTCAGAAGCGGTAGACCGTCTGCCTCGAGTGGTATACCACTTGGTGGAAGAGGTCGACCACTTAAGGTAATTGTGTCAACAGGCTAACCCATTTCAGAAGTGGTAGACCGGTTGACTTAAGTGGTATAACACTTGGTGAAAGAGGTCGGCCATTATCGTGGAAAGTGGTCGACCAGTTGGAGGTAAGTGTGTCATCAGGTCGACCCATTTCCGGAAATGATAGACCTGATGACTCAAGTGGTAGACCACTTGGTGGAAGAGATTGACCCTTGAAGGTAAGTGTGTCATTAGGTAGACCCATTTCCAGAAGTGGTAGACCGGATGACTCAAGTGGTAGACCACGTACTGGAAGAGGTCGACCATATTTTCGGAAAGTGATCGACCACTTTATAGAAGAGGTCGACCATTTTCTCCAAGTTACGATGACTTGCAAGTAACCATAGGCATACCCTGATATTTAACTAAGGTGGAATCATAAAACCAGCCATCATAGACACCAATCTGCATAGCTTTATCATAATAATTTTGCTGAGAGCCAATTGTCTTCATGCATGAATGTTTTACAAGAGACGGAAGCTTGTTTCGTATTTATTACCTGCAAAACTATTTCAACTGAGAAAATGATGTTTCTAAAACTTCTGATAAATTCAGGTAAATAAACATAAATATAGATATAAAATATCAATGTTTTACGAATCAGTATAGCAAACGGCTCACAAAAACAAGAATATTGTAAATAATACACACATAATTATACACTAAACAATAATATTAAAAAAAAGTAGGATTATACAAATTGCTTAACTCCAAACTATAATATTATTATTCTCCAAAATAGAAAGAAAATTTCTTTAATAGAAAATATATATATAAAGGAAAACTTGGAAAAGAACAAAGAAATAGTCAACTAGTGTTGCAGTCTGCTGCTTGAGCTCCTACGTGCGGCTTAGATCCTTCGCGATTCAACGCTGCTTCTCTCCCCCGCCCTTCCCTTAACTTTTGTTGCAGAAGCTACCGCCTGCTGTGTTGGAATCGACTCTCAAATCCACAACACTATCACAACCCTGGCCACCATGAGGCTTGGATATCTGCCGTTTCAACACATTAGCGCACCGCCAGATCTATGATTTTAGAGATTTTCCTATTCCTTCCTCCTCCTCGTTGTCATCTCGGAGCCGCCAACCAACATTGTCGTTGTTTCTCTGTCTCTACAAGGTATATTTCTTGGTCTTTTCTATTATTGTGTTTTTATTCTTGGATGTAGGATTTGCAAACAAACCCAAACCCTATCCTTCTCCTCGTCCTTTGAGCAATGCCTCCATTCTTCCCGACTTCACTCCTGAGATCATCCAGCGCAAGTCTGTCTATCGCTCCTGTAGGAAAGTAATCAAATTGCCTCCTCTAAGTCAACCGTCCAAATAAGGATTCCTGTCGCTTTGCCAGTTTCCTCATGATAACACCTAAATTTGTGTTATTTACCCTTCATATTGAGGTTTATTTCATGTCAATTCATGTGCATAATCGTTTGAATAGCGTCGATTGCATCCCTATTTCGTTTCTATTTGATTATTAAGTGATTTTAGGGTGCTTTAGACAATACATGGGAATTAGGTACGAAAAAAAGACAAGTGTAGAAAAAGGGACATAAGGGTAATGATCGTGGCCTAGAGATGGAGATCACGGCCTAGAACAAAGACGGCAAACTCAAGGCAAAGATCGCGGCCTGATGACTTAAGATCGTAGTTGCAATCTTGAAGGCTTAGGATGCGAACTTCATGAAGAAGCCAGCGAGGAGAAACAGAGAGTTTCCCCAGTCCGTTCACGGCCACATTTCATATTGAGCACGAGGAAGTTTGCTTCCGCACTTCATGGATCACGACCGTGAATTCAGCTTGCGAACTCCTCGTCCCTGAAGGCCAAAACAGCAGCGTCGGTAGATCACGGCCTCAAGGTCGAAGATCGCGGCCGCTATCTCCATGCTACCCGGCCGCCAACTTCTCCATCCTCTGAAAGCTATAAATAGAAGACCCCCTTCACCCATTAAAGAGAGCTGATTTGGAGATAGAACTTCTAGGAAGATAGAGAAAGAAGAGAGAGAATCTAAAGGAAGGAGAATAGAAGAAGGAGGAGTAGTAGCTAGAAGAGAGGAGCCATCTTACTCAACATCAAGTCTTCCCCAATTTCCCCCAACTTTTTCTATGTGTCGTCTTCCCTCTTTTACGGAGCAGTCCTCTAAGGTATTAGGGGTTCTAAACCCCAAACCCTAGTTATAGGATTACTATGTAATTAATGGATATTTGAGCGTTTTAATTAATGAATGTGTTTATCTAGTTGATTTCATTGATTCTCTAGCTTTGATTGTGTTTATGTAAGTCGCTCTAATCTTTTCTACTTGCCTACTTAAGCTTCTACGCTGGGTATGGAGTTTTAGCTCATTGAAAGGAGCTATGTGCTTAATGCCCCAGATACCATAGCCTAGATCGAGGTGACTAACATGGTTTTAGGGGAGGCGTGTAAATAACAACGAAAGCCCGCGGAAAAGAGCTCACTCACCACATTCGACAAACCATATTTATCTAGACATTGCATAGTAGACCTAGGCTAGGGTGAGGGATAGTTCCCCCAAGTACATGCTTTTATCCTTAGTAGTTCTCTCTACTAGTATTCTACTTGAACCCTCCACCACAAATCCTTAAACCGACCGGCTAGCTAACACCAACGTGAGAAGTAGGCCAAGGTATCGAGACCCAAGTGAATACGACCGTGATTGCCACTATATGACAATGCCACTCTAGGTTAAACTTGTCCTAAGATGGTGTAGTTATTGAGACTTCCTAACTGTTGACAATGACTTGCACGGATTGAATCGATCACCTCTCTTCGGCAATATTCAGCGGCAAACAAACTTCTCAGGTGACTCTCACTCACAAATCCTCACCAACTCATAAGATAGCGAACAATATAGTTAGGCCGATGATTATATATAACACTACGGTCATTGATAAGATAAATCTGGCAGATTAGCGGGACAATTCATTTGGGGATATTTTAGAGGAAGTTCTATGGTGGCTGGTACTATACAATGGCTTTCACGTACGTTTTGTAGGTCGGATTAGCAATAGGATAGCCTATTTGATGGCTAGAAAGACCCTTCCTTTGTATCTGACATCATGACGTTCTTTTGATTTTTTTGTCCTGCCTTCATACCATGGTGTAATTTATTTTCGGTCTTTTCTTCAGTCAATGTAAGAACTGGTTTTTCAAAAAAGGAAAAAATTCTTAAATTGAACATTCGCTTTTGAGTCCAATCAGCATTATAATTTTTTTTATATCTCTTATTTTCTCAGTAATACCAATGATCCTTTAAAAAATCACAAAAATTGATACACGGAGGTGTGCACATTTGACCCTTACTTTTCAATAAATTCCTTTGACCTTTCCGCAGTCACTAATTTGCATGGATCAGGAAACCGTATCGGACGTCATACCGGATTTATTACTGGTAGGGTACTTTGCGGTACGACCGTGATTCAACCGTTTCATATCGTAAAATACCGTTTTTTAAATAATAAAATATGTTTTTATCAAAAAACCGTACCGACAAAAATAGGCTACCGTACCAACAAACACCGGAATAATATCGGAAAAATACCCGATAGCAATACACCTCAAAAAATAAAATTGAATTTTCCCTACTTTAGATTGCTTGTCAAGTAAATTGGGCTTAGTAGAAGCCTTATGTTTTATTCATTATTCGTTTTGGGCTTTCCTCCTCCTTAAGTCCACTATGTTGACAACAAGAAGACGGGCATCTTCACTTTGGGGAAATAATTCCCTTCCTTTATTTACTCGTGTTATCCCTCTCGTCTTTTTTCCAGCTTCCATTTTTCCTTTTCTGCTCAAAAAAGTCAAAATCCCTAATAGGCAGTGGTCGGGCTTGGTGATCCACGAATGACGACCTTGACTCGGCGGACAACGAACGGGCAGAGAACAGAGAAGGCGAAGAGCTACGACGATGACCTTCTCGTTCGCGGATCGGAAGGCCAGGGAGAAGAAGAAGGACGAAGTCGACCTTCTCATTCTCAGGCTTGGCTGGAAAATACGAACGACGAATAGGGCAACCTTCTCGTTCTCGAGTTCCACCGGGAAATACAAACGTCGTAAACCTTCTGTTCTCGGATCGGATCGCCAGCTGCAGGGGGAAACAAAGAGCGACGAGAGATTGATGCCTTGCGAGGTTTTACCCTAAGGGAAATCCAATTTTGTTTCTCTTTGAATGAAACGGCGAAGTTTTACCTGGGTTTGAAGGACCGCCGGCTATATCAAAACCGGCCGGCATTTCGCGGTTCGCCGGTTGAGCTCTGAATACCGGCCGGTGCCATATTTTTGCCGCACAACCTGTACCGTATCGGATCTGGTTCATTTTACGGTTTTTCCGGTTCAACCAGCCGGTACGGTACGGTTTCCTGGTCCATGCTAATTTGCTCATAGATATAAGGCAAAATACACTTTTATAGTCAAAACTTTGGCGTTTGTGCCAATAATAGTAAAATTTGGAGAAATACCACTTATAGCCATTTTCGTCCAATACTTTAATGGTGTCACCTAACAGGGTGACTGGACTAACAACAACGGTTGATGTGGCATATTTTATTGGAAAAAATGACAAATGGAAAAACATTAAAGTTTATCCTTTTATTTTAATTAAATGAAATAAAAAATTATAAAAATAAAAAAATTCATAGAAAAAGAAAATAAAAAACAATAATCTCAGTCCTCTTCCACCGCCTCTTCACCTTCCCATCTTCAAAATCGGTGTCGTTGTTCTCTCTTCTCTCTAATTTCTTCATCTCCATCAATGAAAACAACACAAAATTCCTTTTTCTTCCCGAAACGATGACAACCCACAAACAACACTTTTTTCTCCACTCATCTAGAGCGTCTTCTTTCTCTTTCAAAAACGTCCAGATGCTTTCTATATAAAAAACGCCCAGATCGGCCAATCGATTCTTCTTCCCTTCTCTGAGTCGTCAGAGTGTGGTTCAGGTTGGGCGGGGATGGGAAATCGAAATTGGCGGAGTCAGGGCTCGAATCTACGGAGAACGAGAACCAGTCGCAGAGCTGATGATTGAAAGAGAGAGGAAGAAGCTAACTGTCAGATCTGGTCGATTTTTGTGTTGATTTTGGGGGTGCTTTAACTATTGAGGATAGGTCGAATTTTTTATTTTTATTTTTTTATATTGAAAAGATTTTATAAAAAAATTAAAATAAAATTTGATGTGTAATTATTAAATAATGTAAAAATGAGGATGTGTCACTTTTGGCTTATTCGGTGCTGACGTCTCTACTGAGTTGGCGCCTAGTCAACGAATCGTCAAATACGTTACTGGAGTTAATAACACCGTTAAAGTATCTAACGGAAATGACTATATTTGTCATACAACAATTTTGAAAAGTGACTATAAGTGATATTTCTCCAAATTTAGCTATTATTGACACTAACACGAAAGTTTGGGATACAAGTGTATTTTGCCAAGGTATAATCAAATTCTTCGCTGGTCACCGTTATATATTCTCTTCTGTTCTCTTCTTTCCACCTACTGCAGCAGGAGAACAACCCCCCACTCCCCAAAAAAAAAACTAAAACCGGGGATTTCCGAGAAGAAGCGTCTCCCAGACGACGGGGAAAATGGAGGTGGCGGCCGTCCAGATTATCAGAATCGCAGCTATTTGCGGGTCCCTTCGTCAAGGGTCGTTCAATCGCGGCCTCATCAGTTCTGGTACTCGGGTTTCCACTGATTTACCGGAAAAAATCTGATTCTAATCTGCAACTTTGTTGATGGTGAATTTTTTAACTTTTGCTGATAGCGCTTTATTTGGGGTTTGGTTCTTAATCGGCAGCGCTGGATTTGAGTAAGCAAGTGGTGAGCGGGATGGAGATCGAGTACGTGGAGATATCCCCTCTGCCGATGCTGAACACCGATCTGGAAGGACCCGGTGGCAGTTTCCCCGACGCGGTTGATGCTTTCCGTCAGAAAATCAGGGAAGCCGACGCCGTACTCTTCGCGTCTCCGGAGTACAATTACTCTGTCTCTGGTACACTTTCTTCCCCACCTCACTATTCATAGTAAAGGAATGAGTAACCCGTTAAATTTTTGGTTGTACATAATAACATATTTTTCTTATTTGAAAAGTCACATGGATCATAGAACTATCTGTCTTTATGGGTAAATTGTGATTGTGATAACCAATGAGATTATTTAGACATAGGATAGGAGACTCAGCCATTTTTGGCTGAATTCTTTGATGTAACGATCAATTAAATATATTTTATTTAATTGTCTTATTCAATAGTCTGAATGAGATCAGCCAATTCTTCCTTATTTCCCACCTAATCTGAATCTCCTCCTGTTCTATTCTGTTCCTACTTTCCCAGACCCACCACCGCATCAATTATTTGTTTTGAAATCACTTTTCTTTTTTATATGAAATCAAATGCATCAATTAATTGTTTTGAAATCACTTTTTTTTTAAATCAAACGCATCAGTTAATTGTCTTATTATTGAATCGTCCACTTTTAGTGGTGGCAAGCCAACTGACAAAGCATCAATTTGCTTCTACGGTCCGATTTTATTCAGTGAAGTGGTCAATTCGTTATGCCGTGTTTTGGTATCGGTAGATTCTATCATCAGATTTAGTCGTTTAATTTTGATTGGGTAGAATCGATTAAATGATTTTATAAAATTTCTATAATTTTAATTGGTATGTATTTCCTTTGTTTTAATTTTTATTTTAAAGAAATTATATCAATTTCTGGGGAAACATTATATCAATTTCCATATAGTTGGAGAACTTGTTTTCCAGACAACTCGTTACCACTCTACTACCCTTTGTTTAACTCAAATTTTAATTAAAAGTAACGCGTCACCTACAAAATTACTGAATCGCTAAATGTCGCCCTAAGAATTGATAAACGTCGCCCTAACTTAAATGTCATATTACCTATACACCCTTAATGAAAATTGAAAAAATAGGACAACCAAACAACCCTTTACCTTTCCCTCGGCAGCAGACGAATCCAAACCTTCCACCGACGAACCCCTCCCCCTCTGCCTCTGCTCCCGCCGCTCTCCACCCTTTCCTCCCGCCACCGGCGAACCCCTCCCCTCTGCTGTTCCCGTCGCCGGTCGTGTCGCTCACGTCGCCGGCGCCCTTTATCTGTCGCGCGCTCGCCGCCGCCGGAGAAGAAGACGTTGTCGCGCTCCACAGTCGCGCCGGAGAAGAAGAAGGTAAAAACAAAAAAAAAAAATTCGACCGTAGTCAAACCGCGGTCTGACCGATGGTCAACGCGCGGTTGAACCGACGGCTGACCGCGGTAAAAGGGCGATTGCCGATGGTCAAACCGCGCTTTGACCGCGGTCAGCCGTCAGTTCAACCGCGCGTTGACCGTCGGTCAGACCGCGGTTTGACTGCGGTTGAATTTTTTTTTAATTCTGTTTTTAAATATTCTGTATTTAAATGTTAATAATAATAAAAAAATTAAAAAATATACTTAATAAAAATAATTTAGTTATAATTATATTTAATGATAACGTATTCGATAAATGTTAATTTAGTTATAATGTTAATTTAGTTATAATGGTAATTTAGTTATAATTTAGTTATATGATATAAAAATTTAAAAAACGTTTTCGATAAATGTTAATTAATGATAAAAAATTTAAAGAACATAATAAAAAAATTAAAAATGTATTTTTATCATTTTAATAATCAAAATTTCAAAGTAATTCGTTTACCTACTTAATTATTAATAATTTTACCTTGATTAATTATTTATTTTTATGTAAATAATGATTACATAGAACGTAACATAAAGGTTCAAACTATTAATTTTATAATTTTAATTATGGAAATCTTTAATTAATTACTTTATGTACTCTATTATTAATAATTCAAACTTTTTTTTGAAGATGTCTGGACATAGAATGGGTAAACCCGATATGATTAAGGCGAGAAATAAGGAGAGAATGGAAGGTCGTGCTTGTAGACTTACGGCGACTGGTAGGAAGGAAAATGAAGAAAAAAAATTCACCTAAGGTTAGAAGGAAGAAGAAGGCGGATGTAGTGCGTCGTGACAGCCACTCTACTGTGGGGCAGTTGTCTCTTAGTCGAGGTACTACCAGTACTCCTACACCAGAGAGCGCACCGGTATGGCAGGCTAATTGGAGTGATTCCATTGACGAGGATGATGATGATGACGGTGAGGCTGAGGTTGGGAATGCCCCAGATGCTGGTGATGCTGCTGGTGATGCTGCTGGTGATCATGCTGGTGATGCTGCTGGTGATGCTGAGGATGGGGATGCCCCACCTCAAGCTGATTTAGGCGTGGGGAAGACGTCGCGGGTCGGGATATCTTCTACTGCCTCCTCCCACTTCCGTGGCCCCGATGGACGCTATGCGTCCAGACCTAGTAGCGAGGATGGCGGAGATGGAAATAGGAAGAGGAAGACCACGAGGAAAGCTATGTCGTGGTTTCTTACAGCCGAGTCTCCGATGTGTTCAGGTGGACCAGTGATTCCCGATGTGATCCCTAGCTTTGGAGGTCACATTGGTCTTGTACTGTGGAATTCCCCTGAGCAGGACCGTGGAGTGTTGGACGGCTTCCATAGGCCGAAAGCTATAGAGACTTTGAGGCGATATAAGTGGAGTGCAGAGGGTTCCAAGGAGATGGTTGAAGCCACAGGATTGTCTCACTTGACAGGGTGCATGAAGCAGCATTTAGATATGGCTCTACTGTCGGCATTTGTGGAGAGGTGGCAGCCGGACACAAACACCTTCCACATGCCGTTTGGAGAGATTTCGATCCTTCTACACGATGTGCATCACATTCTTCAGATACCGGTTGACGGAGAGATGATGGGAGATGAGGCTTCGCCAGATACTCTTAAGTCAGACATGGGTGGTCTAGTTCGACTTTCGGTGGATGCTCATGTTGGTGGTAAGTGGAAGTCTAAGTGGTACGATAATGGTGCTATGCATGCAGAGGGATTGTTGGTGCGTGGGGGAGAGTTGAAGATTAAGGAGATGGAGGTGCAGTGTTACCTATTTGTGTTACTGGGATCAACGCTTTTTGTGGATAAGAGTCGTGATCGCCTTCGTCCTTCGATCAACTTGTTTCTGAAGGATCATCGATGATTGACTGATTATGCTTGGGGAGCTGGTGCACTAGCCTATCTCTACAGACAGTTGGGAGTGGCCACACGAGCGGGTAGTAAGGGTCTTTGTGGTTGTTTGACCCTGCTTCAGGCTTGGATATATGAGTACTTTCCTCTATTCCGTCCGAGTCAGCTGCCGCAGTCTTCGGATGCACCTCGTGCTTCCTCGTGGATTTCTCCCCGTTTGCCAGGTGGGGATGAGGCTAGACAGAGGTTAGCACGTTATCGACAGTTGTTGGATGAGCTTTCAGCTGATGATGTGACCTGGACTTCGTACGGACGAGATGGCCACACAGATATACCCCGCTCCTTGTATACTGGCCCCATTCGATTTTCTGACATTGCTGAGGGATACGATCCTGCACGTTGTCTGCACCAGTTTGGATACCGACAGATTATCCCCCGTGCTATGACGGTTGTGTTTTTTTTACTTTAGTTACATTCAATGCATTGCTAAAATAGTTAATCAAGATTACTAAATGTTTCAACAATAGAGAGTTATACAATTCGTAAAATATACTTCCAATCTTCATCCCCGTGAGTTCAATCTATCATAAAGCGCACGCTCATGTTAGAAGAATTGATCCCACCCATTGACACTAGGGTCATGAAAAATAAGCCAAAGGCCATTAATTGGAGGCATGGGCACTTGACCATGTCGAAAGTCAAGTCGCACCCAATGATCCCCCGTAAAATATAGTGATACGATCCCACGTGGTCTTGTTACTCCTGGTGGGGCCGTCACAGGTAGCACGGTATAACGACCGCCTTGACTGTATACAACGATAGCCCATGAATGCAAGGTGGCGAAGACGAAGAGTTCCGCATTATCCATCCAGTTGGGAGGTCCACAGCCACTTGTTGATGCCCACCTGCAACGTCGAATGCCATTTTCTATTCCATTTGCTATTCCATCATAGTAGTCTCTATAAAGCTCAGGACGGGATTCAAGCTCCTCTACAACAGCGCGTCTCATTTGTGGCCAATTGCTTTGGTCCCCAGTAACTGCTTGTGATATAGCTCGAAATCCACAGTGTCCATCTGGAATAGGGTTGAACCAACCACGAACTAGTCGTTGCACGTAGGATTCCAAACAATGTAGCCATGGGTAATTCTTCCAACTAGTATTGGAAATCCGAGCAACCCTCCACGGGGCACCATCTAGTCAAAGAGCATAACACAATAAATTAATACAAAGAGTTATGCAATATATTTATCCGAAATTAGGAATATAGTTTCTAACCTGTATCATTATGGATCACCGGCTCCGTCTCATTCTCGAAGTTGGTTTGTGCATTCACATTCGGGGCACCACCTATCTCATTTAAAAAAATAGATTAGTTGTACACTATATTGAGGACAATTGAACACAACTAATAGAACAAGTTTTTCTACCTGTATTTCCATCATTGTCGGGAGTTGCAGTCGAAAGTCTTGAACTTCTCCTCCCTCGTCTCCTCTCCACATGCTCGAAGTGAGATAGGTTTCGAGTGGTGGACGTCCTTGGGCGACCGGGGCGGGGCTGTCCCCCATGCGGCTCATCAATGCCATCATTTTCAGGATAAAGATGGCTCCGGAGTAGGCCGATTGCACCTTGAATGGTCTCGTCGCCTCTATCAAGAACCTCCTGTACTAGACCTTGGAACACACCACGGTTGTAATCACTATGGTCATCCCACTCTGGCCGAGTAGGAGGTTCACGATAGTTGATAACGGTCCAGAATGCCAACACATCATACAAGGCGAAATCCCGATTTTCACGTCGTGCTAACTGAATGGAACATCTACATGGGAGACTATAGGTAGGAGTAAACGTACATGTACAAGGTTCCCCTTCCACTGCTACCTCGAACAACATCAACCTCGGAGCTTCTAGAGTGACTTTTGTATTCAACTCTCGAAATGGTTTTCCATCCGCTCGGAGCAGCTTCTTTTGTCGGGAATCCTCTAAAAGCTTCCTGATTTGAAGGTGTTGAGCCTCAATGTAATCATCGTTCTTCTTGAATACCTTATATACAATGAAGAATAATTAGGAGACTACTAAAATTTATGTGTGTATCAATGAAGATTTACTAGGAGACTAACCATGTCGACTGCGCCAGTAGATGATTGAAGCCACTTCTTGAAGGAGGAATGGGCAGCTTCAACCCTATTAGAGCTTGTGTTACCCAAATGCCGCAGTTGATTGGTATAACATTTAGCCCACATGTGTCTAACTGTTAACCACTCAGCTGTCATATACCCCCAAAGACGTCAGTACTGTACTCCCCAACTACGTCTGAAATTGTCTAAGGCAGTATCCATGTCTTCCACTGTCAATGCATATACAGCACGTTGCCAAGACGCCATGATATGATCCACTGTTGGTTTGGCTGCATCTATACCACAATGAGTCGTCCTTCTCACCTCCGCTAGACACTTTGCTCTCACATTCCTATCCATATGCCAAAGACATAATATATGAGTCGATGATGGAAACATTACCCCCACGGTCTCAACCAATCCTCCTGCCTTGTCACTGACAAACACATCTGGAACAATGGGGCCAAGAAGATGTTGCAAATGCGACAGAAGCCACTGGTACGACTCCTTTGTCTCGTCGTACACTATTGCAGATGCAATGACAAAGTTCAATCCCACTGGTGTCATGCCGACAATCTCAACCCAAGGCATATCATACTTATTGGTCTTGTATGTTGCATCTATCACGATCACATGGTGCCAAGCTCGCAACATCACTACTGACTCAGGGTGGGCTAGGAACAAGTGTGTAAGCACGTTACGATCGTCCATATACTGCACATAGTAACCCTTCTCCTGCCCCACGCGGAAAGTATACTGTAAGGTTGTCATCTGACCAAGCTCTTCTTTCCTTATCTTTTGCAACTCGTTATAAATCTGCTTTCTGTTGTGTGTTCCATTTGCACCTTTTCTCTCATTCACTGCCTTGTGGATATTCCTTGGTGGGACACCGGCTGATCTCAGCTCTCTGATGTATTGCTTATCCTCTGTAGTCAGAACATTCCTTCCCTTTGATCCTTCCGGAAATAGCTCCAACTGATGACTGTGGAAACCCAAATTAGCACCAGGATTCTTTGTATTTGCCACCCCTAGGATCAACCAATATCCATCACCTGACCGCTCAAGCTTGATCTGAAACTCGCACCCCAACTTTTCAGTAGATGTAAGAGGCCTCCTTTCCTTACTCGGATCAGGTTCCTTCGACTTCTTCTTCCTACCATGAGTGCAATGTAAGTAATGTCGCCAAGTACCTTCATTCTTATTTTTTTTGTTCGATGCCCTCACCAAATAAAACCCAAAACCCTTGGCAATCTCAGTAGCTGCTTCATATGCTTGCAACTCCGTAGTGTATTTCACGCCATCAATGAAATCCGAGGTGTAATCATGGCCATCCGGATTGTAACTTCCAATATCCTGCAATGTTATCAGAATTTATAAGTGACACCCCCCACAAATTAAAAAAAAAAACTTAACATTCTATATCGTCAATTTAACGAGTACCATATGATAAATTTAAAATTTCATAACTATATTAAATTTAATAATCATCATAACTTCATATGCGAATCTATTATTTATGCAATAAATTTAATCTTAATTTGTAATGCAAAATCTATTCTTAATTTTCTAGATTAAGACCAAATTAAATCTAATCTTCATATGCGAATCTATTATTTATGCAATAAATTTAATCTTAATTTTTAATACAAAATCTAATCTTAATTTTCTAGATTAAGACCAAATTAAATCTAATCTTACTTTCTAATGCTAAATCCTTCAATTCCAAAAATAATTATGCAAATAAATCTAGAAAATTATATAAATCAAAACCCAACAAATTATCTCATGGAACAAATCATAAATCATATAAAAAATAGAAAATTATTCAACGATAAAAAAAAACCCAGAAAATGCCCAACCGCAATTGACCTGCGGTTGAACCATGGCTGGACCGCAAATCACCTGCGGTTGGACCATGGCTGGACCGCAAATGACCTGCGGTTGGGCATTTTTTGGGTTTTTTTTCGTTTTTCAGTTAATGTATTTACCTCGTCGGAGTCGCTACTAATGATTCAGACGTCCTACCGACGATATCGGCTTCAAAATGACGATGATGGATTTTTCTCTCCTTAGATAGTGTTTTTTTAGTCCAAGTGGTGTTTGTTTGATAAAGGGAAGGTAAAGAAGATAGAGGGTTATAAGTGTAACTTTAACAAATATACCATCATCTACTATGGTGGCAAGTGTTGGTAGGTGGTGGTTAGTTTATTCAAGTAATCATGCATCGCCGCCATGACGGAAAAGTTATTTGTGCATTAGTAATGGGTTAATTGCATGGTTGGTCACTGAGATTACAAAAAACGTTCATGTTTGGTCACTGAAAATATTTAAATCCAATCTTGGTCACTCAAATTAGTTAAATGGTTCAAGTTTGGTTACTCTCCGTCCAACTCCGTTAAATAATGCCTGATGTGGCAGTCAACCCTCAAAGTTGACCGTTAACTCGTTGACGTGGCAATTAAAAAATAATAAATAAAATAAAATTTAATCTTCTACCATTTCCAACTCATTTTCACAATAAAGTAAAATAAAAAAAAATTATAAATGGCCTTTACCGTTTGGTCACACGCCAAAGATGCTAAAGTCTCTTCAACAAATTCTCATAAAACAGAGGAAACATTTTAGCTACATGCCAAAGATGAAAAACAGAGTCACAGAACAGTTCTGTTGGTGGAAAAAGAAAAACAGGGGAATTCTATTTCTGCTGTGTGTGAGTGGCAAACAAAAAAACAAAATGTCAAGGTTCTTCACATAATCTCTGCATATCTCAAGCTTCCCACAAATCTACAAATTATTACCAAAAGAATTCTTCTTTTTTATCAGATTAGCTATGGCCCCTTCTCTTTCGAGCATAAAGATCGAAGAGAACCCAAAACCAAAAACAAAAAAGGGAAAGGGAAACCAAATCAGTCAAAAAGTAAATAACTTTCCCCTTCCACAGTTCCACTGAAGCTAGCAAAGCAAGCTCTTATTAAGGGCTCTTACAGGCGTAAATCAGCAATGAGAATTCCAGTCTCTGCTGTTGCTGCTGCTGAAGCTGTTCTTCCTTTTGCGCTAATTTCTCCTCCAGCCACAGCCTGCTGTCCAGCCCACTCCTCGTCCGGAACACAAACACCGCCGCTGCAGGAGCCGTCGCCGGGTGAAAGAACCAGTCATGTACATCCCACATCAGATCCACAAGCAACCCATCAACGAAAATCGTTTGGTTCCCTCTGAAATTCCACTGCAACCTCTTCACCCTAATCACAACCTTCTTATCGATACAGACGGAGAGAACAGGGTGGTGATGCCTCTGCTTCAGCCCTTCCCTCTCCCCCTCGCCGCCGCTGCATTTAATCAGGATATCGTGCTGGCCGCCGGTCTCGGAGAATCGAGCTTTAGTGGAATACAGAGTGCTCCCGGAGCAATGCTCCTGCCTCGAAATCTAGCTGACTTTGGCGGCGGCCGGCGCCGCCCTCAGCAATTTCTTGGACAGAACGGCGGATTCGTCGGCCAGGTCGCCGAGGACGAGGGCAATTTCGCAATTGCGGCGTGTGACCAAACGGTAGAAGCCATTTATAATAATTTTTTTTTTAATTTTTTTATTTTACTTTGAAAATGAGGTGGAAATGGTAGAAGGTTAAAATTTATTTTATTTATTATTTTTTAATTGCCACGTCACCAAGTTAACGGTCAACTTTGAGGGTTGACTGCCACATCAGACATATTTAACGGAGTTGGACGGAGAGTGACCAAACTTGAACCATTTAACTAATTTGAGTGACCAAGATTGGATTTAAATATTTTCAGTGACCAAACATGAACGTTTTTTGTAATCTCAGTGACCAACCATGCAATTAACCCCATTTGTAATTATCATGGTTTAGGAAGGCGTAATTTTGCTTAGGCCTACCGCCTATGTAATAAAAATCCGCCTCACCTAGGCCATAGATAGTAAATAAGGTGCTCATAATTAGGCGTAATTTTGCTTAGGCCTATGTAATAAAAATCCGCCTCACCTAGGCCATAGATAGTAAATAAGGTGCTCATAATTAGGGATGAAAACAAAACTCGAACTTACGGGTACGTTATCCGACCCAACCTCGTAAATGTGGGTAAAACTCATGTTGACGGGTTTCGGATCGGGTTTGGGTTTAAACTCGATATACTTTCATCGGGTTGGGTAGGGTTTGGGTTTAGGGATACCTGACCTGTGGATACCCCTGCCCACACTTATTCTGTTGCCCTACTCTTCCCAAACCCTAACCTAATTCTAATTTCCCCCAATCTAACTCTCCCCAAACCCTACCCTAATTTTATTTCTTACCAATGTAGTATTTCCTTTTTTCCAAAAGAAGTTGGAGAGATAAATTAATAATTGAAGTTGAACTCACAACTTTTGTTGGTTTGCTGCTCTCTCACTAACAAATTAAAAGGGGAATGGTCAAAAACAAAGAATTGTGTGCTTTTATTTAGTGTAGTTGTGATTTGTTTGAATTTTCTAAACTAGTGTTTTATGTATGGGTAATTTGTATGAGGAAATTTATGTTTGACTTTATTTTGATAGAAACTTGTTATTGTGAATTTTTTACAACACAAACCCACGGGTACCTATGAACCCGGGGATACCCAACGGGTTGGGTTTAAGTTTTTCAAAAACCCAATAGGTTTTACCCTGAGTTTTTTTTTTTTTTTTTTTTTACGGATAAACCCATGAGTTTGGGTTTTGATTTGACCCAACCCAACTCAACCCGACCCATAGCCATTCCTACTCATAACGTCATACCAATCTATAGTCGGTGCCCAGTTACGATTAATCATTTGTGGGACACAACAGGCATGGTTGTTTATGAAAATAAAACTTATACGAGTGGTTAACTTTTTTGTATAAATGAACTACTTGGATTAAAAAATTTAATTATTATATATATTATATTATTTATTATGTAAACCATAACGTCTTGTCTGATATTCTGGCTCCAGCGCCACTGAAGAATGCAATTGATTGGGCGTCGAGAACTCCCAACTGCTGGGGTGGCAAGGCTGCTGCAATTGTGAGTGCCGGGGGTGGTTTTGGCGGTGGGAGATCACATTACCATCTTCGCCAGATTGGTGTCTACCTTGACCTCCATTTCATCAACAAACCCGAGTTCTTCTTGAACGCATTCGCTCCTCCTGCCAAATTCGACAGCAACGGCAACTTGATTGATGCGGAGGCCACAGAAAAACTCAAAGATGTGCTGCTCAGCCTTCGTAGTCACGCTCTTCGCCTCAAGGGTAGCTGATAGATCATCTTCAACAAAATGGCTAATACTGCATGTCAGTGTACAATGAGCAGCTCTGTCTATTGTCATTTTTTGATAGTTTGACTTTGCATTTCATCGTTCCTCGATACATTTCACGCTAGATTGTGTTTGTTTTGATACATTTTATATCCTAGCATGTGTGGAAGGGTCGATGACGAGTTCGGGACGATTTGAGGTAAAAAAAAAAATGCAAAAATCAAAGGAAAGTACAATGTGGCGACCGTGACAATTGCCCCGTGATAGTGAAGTGCAGACGTCCAGGAACCAGCCGCATTTCACGGCCAGAGCTATGAGTTTACGGTCGTCAGGACCGTGAACTAGAACCACAAACCGTGAACAGCGAGGCGTCCCGGGGGGGGGGGGGGGGGGGGGGGGGCTCTAGAGGTTAATGACGACAAGGCAGTTCACGGTCGCTAAGACCGTGAACTTTGAGCACAAACCGTCGTGAACCCCAGGAAGTGAAGCGGTGCGTTTTGGCCACGACACCGAGTTCACGGACGCATTTAGGTGTTCACGGTCGTGAACTGGAAGATGAGATCTTATGTGATGTTGTGCCAATGCAAGCGGCGCATGTCTTATTTGGGAGGCCATGGCAATTTGATCGAAAGGCACATCACGATGGAGTTACTAATAAGTACGAGCTAGTACATGGCGGGAAGAAATTCATGTTGAAACCCCTATCTCCCAAGGAAGTTTATGAAGATCAACTCCAAATGCAACGAAAGTGGGCTAAGGAGAAGGAGCAGGAATCTCAAGTCACGAACAAGAGTGTACATGGGGGGTCTAGTGCCGTGGATACCAAGTCATTGATGATAGCACGAAGTGGAGACGTGAAGCAAGCAGTAAATGATCATGAAATAATGATCATAATCATCTATAAGGGCATGCTACTCAATCAAGAGCTTATTCAAGAGATACCGCCTAGGGCACGAGTGGTATTAGAAGAATTTGAAGATGTCTTCCCCGAGGAAGCTCCAAAAGGCCTACCTCCAATCCGTGGGATAGAGCATCAAATTGATTTTGTTCCTCGAGCTACAATCCCAAACAAGGCGGCTTATAGGACGAATCCAGAGGAGACGAAGGAGTTGCAGAGGCATATTGATGAGCTTATGGAGAAAGGACATGTTCGAGAGAGCATGAGTCCGTGTGCAGTTCCTGTCATCCTCGTGCCCAAGAAGGACCATACGTGGAGAATGTGTGTTGATTGCCGAGCAGTCAACCAGATAACAATTAAGTATCGTCATCCTACCTCGATTAGATTATATGTTTGACGAGTTGCATGGTTCTAGTTTGTTTTCAAAGATTGATCTGAAGTCGGGATATCACCAAATCCGAATGAAGGAAGGAGATGAATGGAAGACTGCCTTCAAGACGAAACATGGCTTATACGAGTGGATGGTGATGCCCTTTGGTCTTACTAATGCGCCAAGCAAATTCATGAGGTTGATGAACCACGTGTTAAGAGCTTTTATTGGGAAGTTCGTGGTTGTCTACTTCGATGACATTCTGATCTATTCGAAGAACATGGAGGAACATCTTGAGCATTTGCGAGAAGTGTTGAAGACTTTGAGGAAGGAGCAGCTCTATGCCAATCTGAAGAAGTGCACATTCTGTACCTCGAGGGTGGTATTTTTGGGATTCATAGTAAGTGCGAATGGTGTTGAGGTCGATGAAGAGAAGGTGAAGGCGATTCAAGCATGGCCTACCCCGACGAACGTGAATGAAGTGAGGAGCTTTCATGGGTTGGCTGGTTTCTATCGACGATTTGTTCCAAATTTCAGCACCATTGCCGCCCCATTGACATCCATTATCAAGAAGAATGTGGCGTTTTATTGGGGAGAAGAGAAAGAGAAGGAATTCGAGCTACTCAAGTACAAACTCACTCACTCAGGATTGGGAATTGGAGCTGTATTGATGCAAGTGAAGAAGCCTATCGCTTACTTTAGCGAAAAATTGAGTGCAGCTACGCTTAACTATCCTACCTACGACAAGGAGCTCTATGCATTGGTTCAAGCCCTAGAGACATGGCAGCACTATTTGTGGCCCAAAGAATTCGTGATCCATACTGACAATGAGTCTCTCATGTATTTGAAGGCCCAACACAAGTTAAACAAGAGGCATGCTCGTTGGGTGGAGTTTATTGAGCCATTCCCCTACGTGATTAAGTATAAACAAGGCAAGTATAATGTGGTTGCTGATGCTTTATCAAGGAGATACACGTTGATCACTACTATGGATGCTAAGTACCTTGGATTCGAGCAAATCAAGGCTGCTTATGAAGGGGATTTCGACTTTGGAGAAATTTACAAGGCTTGTGAGAAGCATGGAGAAGGGAAGTTCTACCGAAGAGATGGTTATCTCTTTCGAGGTAATCAATTGTGTATACCTAGAACATCACTTCGAGAGCTTTTGTTGAAGGAAGCTCATGGAGGAGGATTGATGGCTCACTTTTGTAACACCCTACCCTATACGATTTGCCTAATCATATTGTTCATACAATTGCAGCGGAATTAATCTCGGGTGTTACATTAATTATCAAAATTTACCTAAATAAAATTTCGACATGAATTACTCGCGTAATGGGCTAACAGTTCTTGCAACTTATCCTGCAAAATAATTCACCACAAACATATATACTCACAACCATAAGCATTGGCTTTCATAGCCATAGTCACAGTTTCATTTACTACACAACTGCATACTATACTGATACAAGCCATAATCGTCACAACTTACACAGTTACACAACATATACACATATCATTAATTTTCCACACCTGTGGATATCTCACACTAGATCAGAAGCTAGTATGCACATGAAAAACGTTCTCAAAACATTTTTACAAAAAGGTGTGGATCACTGGCCAAAATCCCGAGTAGTAGTCCAAGCACAAAATAGTTGAAGACCATACCTCATCTTGCCTTCAACTCTTGCTCAGCTCCCACCTATACACCTATCTACTGCTGCTGATGATGATCTGCTTACACATAGCATAAGCAGAGAAGAAGAATAAAAGAGGGTCAGCTCATAGCTGAGTGAGATAATCATAGCATCGTGAGTTCATAACATAGCATACCCCTATCATACATCTAACAAATAAGCCAAAATACTAGGATCGGACCTCAGCCGTCCTCATATCCCAATAGGCAAAAGACTCAACCACCTTGACTTATGCATATGCATCTTATCATGTTTTAATCATAGGCGCCTGGCTACTCCCATGCTAATAACTCTCCCGGGAAACATACCCCACATCCCGTCGGATGTAGTCATACATACCCCAACATCCCGTCGGATGTGGTCATACATACCCCACACCACTATGGGTGTAGTCATACCTCGACACCGCTCTGGGTGTGGTCATATCTCATAAGAATTCTTCAGTCACCACCACATGAGAGGTGTGACTATCATACATATCATAATAGAGTAATAGCATAGGGAGCCCTAATTACTACGTAATTGACCATGAGACCACAACATTCACATTTGGTATCCCTGTACATGATTCATATCTTATCTTGCTTACTCGTAATTCGTTACTTGCACATGTACTTGACCTGGCCATAATTGGCTCAACATAGGTAAATCAGGAGTCGTATAATTGCACTTCCTCGGGATAAACCCTCGTGCAAGTCATCCTCCTTAAAACATCATAATATCACCCTGGGAAGTTTATTCCCCCACTTATGGATCCAAATACAACCATAATATCACACCATGTCAAAACCCCTTATCGAACAACCATGAAGTCATATCAATAGTTAAGCCACAAATGGCAACATGTATGCAATCATCCACATAAACAAGGTTCATATCGATTAGGGCAAGTCAATAATATCATACAACAGTCCAGGGTTTATCATATAGCACAAAAGTCCATACACCCCTAATCATGCCATTCTAGTTCACCTAGGTCAATTCTAAGCATTAATATAATTATCGTGATACGACAAACCCGGTATGCCGCGCTAATCCCTCACCAGTTCTGGTCGTTCAAACACCGGTTCTAGCCTCCCGTACTAAAACGTCAATTTCACGAACGAACCCCGAATTAAAATCCGAGACCGTCCTAATATCCCCTGCAGTATCCCCGTCAATATTAGTTCTAGGCTCCGGGTCAAATTCTCGATAAAAACACATCAAACCCTGGCCGGAGCTAAATTCAGCGGTTTGGACCCCGGCCTAAATAATAGCCGAAATTCAGGGATTAGAACTAGAGGATTGATTACCTCGCTGCAGGAAGCTCGTATATGAAATTTGGGCTCAATCCGGCTTCCGGATACTCCGAAACCCTAATTTGGCTTATCGGGAATTCAAGAAATTCCTGAACCAAAATCCCGTTTTAAAACTCTAAATCGATAAATCACGATGAATAGATGAATTAGGCATTACTTACGGGATTTTTGGATCAGTGTAGCTCAAGAATCGAGCTACAGAAATTTTACCCCGCGATGCCCTGTGCGCCTCTGCTTCTCGTTACTCTCGTCCGAAAAGAAAGAAGATGAAGAAATGGATGGGAATTATATGCCGACTGCATTTATATATATATATATATATATATATATATATATAATTAATACGTATACTTATCCGATCGATCGATAATTCGATTTTCGCCGAAATAGTGTCGAAATGCTCGATTTTAAATCGCGAACTTTCTAACGATCGAAATATGGGTTTTAGCCGAAATGGGATGTTACAATTCTCCCCTCCTTAAAAGATTTCGTCCCCGAAATCTAACCTTGAGTCGTACTCTAACTCCTCTTACTAACCCTTAACATGATCTATCATACATAAAGTCATTACCTAACTCTTAGGTTAGGCAATTCATAACATAGAAAGTAACACATAACACCTCAAGTTCCCATGTTTAGGTTTCAAAACCTATACTGGGCTATCACAACAAAAGCACATCAGCAAGTTCAAAACATAACTTACTAAGCAAGATTGTTAACCTGTAAAGTAGGTTGCTACTAACTCAGGGTACTTCTCCCGCATACTTGCTTCAGTTTCCCATGTAGCACTCTCACTTTCTTGATTCCTCCACATAACCTTCAACATTGGAATTTCCTTCCTACGAAGATTCTTAATCTGAAAATCAACAATCTCAACTGGAACCTCTTCAAATGTCAAATCAGGACCCAACTCGATATCTTCTGGTTGTATCACATGGGAAGGATCCACTTTGTACCTCTTCAGCATACTAACATGAAATACATTGTGGATTTGAGATAGTTCTGGAGGCAATGCTAACTTATAAGCCACTGGTCCAATCTTCTCTGTGATTTCATATGGCCCAATATACCGAGGTGCAAGTTTCCCTTTCTTACCAAATCTCATTACGCCTTTCCAAGGTGACACTTTGAGAAATACTTTCTCACCCACTTCGAAATTAACTTCACGCCTACTCGTGTCAACATAAACTTTCTGTCGATCTTGAGCCACCCTCAAACGCTCCCTGATTTCCTTGACCTTGTCAACTGTGATCTGAACTATCTCTGGCCCTGAGATTTGCCTTGCTCCTTCTACATCCCAACATAATGGTGTTCTACATTTCCTCCCATAAAGTGCTTCATATGGTGGAACACCCAAACTACTATGGTACTGATTATTGTAAGCAAACTCAATCAGGGGCAAATGGTCAATCCATGATTCCTCCCATTGCATTACACATGATCGAAGTAGTTCCTCCAAAGTTAGGATGGTTCGTTCACTCTGCCCATCTGTTTGAGGATGATAAGCTGAAGTAAAATGCAGTTTAGTTCCCAAGGCATCATGTAAACTTTGCCAAAACCGAGATGTGAAGCTCGGGTCTCGATCAGAGACAATAGAAATTGGCACACCATGCAATCTGACGATCTCCTTAATATATAGTTGAGACAAAGTCTCCAGTGATGGTTTCCATCTAATGGGTAAAAAGTGAGCCGATTTGGTCAGTCGGTCCACAATAACCCATACTGCATCTTTTCCCCTTGATGATGGGAGACCATATACAAAATCCATTGTGATTCTTTCCCACTTCCATTCTGGAATTGGAAGTGGTTGCAGTTTTCCCACGGGAGCTTGATGTTCTGCCTTAACTTTCTGACATACCAGACATGTGAAAACATGTTCAGCCGCTTCCTTTTTCATCCCACGCCACCAATAATATGGTTTGATCGTGTGATACATTTTAGTTGCTCCTGGGTGCATAGCATAAGCAGAAGAATGAGCTTCATCTAGGATCTCTTTCCTCAAGTTATCAACATTAGGAACACATGCTCTTCCATTCATCTTCAACATGCCATCTACCATTTCAAATGGGCTTTCTTTTCCTTCCTGAATGTCTTGAATGATTTTTACCAACTCTGGGTCCTCCTTCTGCTTCTCACGAATTTTGTCGTGCAACAAAGGTCGAATGTTCAACCGAGCTAGTAACCCTGTCACACCATCCACTTCCAAATCCACATTCATTGCCCTCAAATCAACCAGATCATTTATATTCTTCTTCCCCTTTCTGCTCAGAGCATCAGCAACTACATTAGCTTTACCTGGATGGTAATCAATGGTACAATCATAATCTTTCAACAACTCTATCCATCTCCTCTGGCGACTATTTAAATCCTTCTGATCCATGATATACTTCAAGCTTTTGTGATCAGTTAGGATTTTAAAAGTCTCACCATACAAATAATGTCGCCAAATCTTGAGAGCAAATACCACCGCTGCCAACTCCAAATCATGAGTGGGATAATT